CCCCGCCCCGGGCGTAGAGCGCGGCGGGCGGCCGCGGGGCCCCCCGCCCCCCCCGTCTGGGGGCGGGTTTGGGCGCCCCGCGCGGGGGGCACCCCGAGCCGACTTCCAAAGGAGGAGCTTAAGAGGAGACGCGAGAGCAAGTCCGCTCCAGCGATCAGCCTCGGATTGTCAGTTTGCGAAGGCTCTCCAGCGGAGCCTCTTGAGTCGCCCGCCGACACTCTGCAACCATTCTCTCTGTCGGGGCTGCTTTCCGGATACAAAAATGAGAGCGAAAGGACAATCCAAGTACTGTAGTTCTCTAAACCCCGCTCCTTTCCAGGCCGTCCGATTGATACCCGCCGCCCAGCCTCTGGTGCAAACTAGTTTCCTGAAAGTAGTTCGCCCTTCCCCGGTATTTTTTTGCCGAAGTGTTGCACGGTGGAAGCGGAGGGATATATGGGGTTACACACAATTCCACACGGACCCGCTCTTCTCCGAACGGGAGGGGGGGATCCTGAGAGTTTGCTGCTTCGGAGCGGCTGAGTATTCCGTGTATCCGGGGGGAAACGGGGAGTCGGGAATACTGGAGCAGAGTTCTGCAAAAAAGAGGCATATTCTTCTGAAGTTGGCCCTTTTGAGTCCTTCCCTTTTCTCCAAAGGTTGGGAAGCTTTTCTTACCCTTGGGGCGTGAGCGACTCATCCTCTTCTGCTACGCAAGCTACTATTCTAGAAATCTGTCTTGCGTGAAAACCGGGGCGGCCGGCTTGGTTCACATAATACAGCCATTCGGAGAAAAGTTGCTTTGCTGCTGAAGAGGAATGGTGCAGTGTGGACCGGACGGGACGATTAAGTAATCCAACAGTGTCCCTGATCTGGGATAAGAATAGGACGCGCTGAATCGTTACGCAATGTTTCCCCACGCTGGTGGAGGTTCCCATCCTTGGCATGCATTCCTCTCTTGCATTCCGATTTTCGTTCAAGTAAATCAGCATTTTTCTGTTCTCTCCCCACGTGGGGTTGGTAGGTGTTTCTCAAGTCTACAGGAAATTAGAATTGAGGAGGCTGCTAAATTTTGGCCTGCATTTCTAAGGCGTGAGTGAAAGAATAGTAAAGTCTTTGCAGCATTCCTAATTTGGTCTTCATGTGTATTCAAATACCCAGCCTCTGGGTATGCCGGCTATAAATTCCAGAGACTGTTTAGACCAGTGTTTCTCAACCTTAGCAACTTTAAGATGTGTGGACTTTAACTCCCAGCATTTCCCAGCCTGGGGAATTCTGGGAGTTGAATTCCACATATCTTAAAGTTGCTGAGGTTGAGAAGCACTGGTGTAGACCAACAGATTTAGGAAACTTTCCTCAAGTGGCCCTAACCATGGAAGAGTCATGCCCCGGCAACACCTATTTTCCTACCATGTTCTCATGATGTGCCTTAATCTTGGCACCAGCCTGTGAGTGAAACTTGACTAATGCAAGTCACTTGGCTGTTTGTCATGTGAAAACGGTGTTTCCTTCTCCAGCTGACAGCATCTGGAACACCATAGTATATAATCTCTTATGTTTCACTGCTGTATGTTGGAGGCGAAGTCCAGGTGACCAAAAGTAGGTGAGATCAGAGAAATTTTTATTAGCTGTGTCAGTTTTGGTGGGAGAAAAGGTAGGAAATGAAAGACTGAGATTTTAAAAGTACTGGATAAAGACGGGCTACAGAGAAAAAGAAATCCATAAAAATTCTTCCTCATGGCAGAGGTAGTTGGGCAGGGGCTCAGAATATTGGTGACTGTTCCATTCTAGGCCCCTTGCAGCCATATGACCCCGCTTTAGAAAGCATGCCAAAGGCCTTGCTTGGCATACTTTTCCTAACTTACTAAAACTTTAACTCTGAATATGACAGATTGGGATGTAGGAAGAAAGGCACAAGAAGAAGTTTAGAGATGATGGACAGAGTCTTGCAATGAATCCATTACCCTTCCTGTGATGGAAAATTCCATGATTTTTTTCCCCTCCAGCAGGCGACATGTTGAAATGGGAGCATAGCAGAAGCAAAAGAAACAAGCATGCAAGCAGCATGTATGAAGAACTTGGGAACTTCCCCAAAGAAATATTCTCACAAGGTGTGGAACGGTGGTAGGAGAGATTATATAGGATTTAGTTCATACAAGGAAGAATAAGAAGACTGTTTTGTAATATTTGTTTCATTTGTAAATTGTCCAGATAGAAGAGGATAGTATCAAATAGGGGGACGCGGTGGCGCAGCGGCTTAATGATGCTGAAAGTTGCTGGCCAGAAATGGTCG